TCAATCAATCAATCAATCAATCAATCAATCAATCAATCAATCAATCAATCAATCAATCAATCAATCAATCAATCAATCAATCAATCAATCAATCAATCAATCAATCAATCAATCAATCAATCAATCAATCAATCAATCAATCAATCAATCAACAATGTCAGTGTTTGCTCTTTTCCATGCTGATGAAAAGATTTTTGCTGGCTTTTGTTTGTAAATTACATATAAATCAAGTAGTGTTGTATTCGAGTCAACCATATGTCCTTTCACAAGTCAAGTTATAAGCCCAGTCACAAGTCCTTTCACAAGACCAATCATAAGTAAAAGAGTTAACAGTTACAAATGAATGCTTTTGTATCAGTAAATCTGAATGGCTTGTGAGTTGGCTTAAGACTTCATCGCTTGTGTTGGACTTGTGTTGGACCTACAGTGATTTGTAGGAACTTGGACACGACTACCATAAAGCACATTGCTCCATTGGATGACAAATATTGTCATTGTTTGACTCCCTTTGTTTTACTGTTATTAATAACAGCCTAGGTATTTGTATTGTAGCAAAAATATACTACAAAAACTATATTTTGGAAAGATACATCATTCACCCAGACGGCACAGATATTAAAAAGGACATTCCAAGCAAAATTAATTGTACGATTTGAGGAATTTTGCCGTAAAATGTGAATGAATCTCTTGAACAGAAGGTTCTAAGATTACAAAACCGATCTTCCCTCATTACTGTTCCCTAATACATTTATAAACATACTAGTGGCATAAAGCCGTGCCAGCAAGTATGGCGAATGAAGGAAAAGTCATCAGTGAAAAGCAGTGGGGAGTGTTAGAATGGACCCTTCATACTTTTGGCCATGAAGACCCTCAAAATCTGCACTTTTGTTCTGAACACCACAAGGGGTGTGGGTGTTGGCAGTGGCAGCGTCCAAGAAATCGGGGGCTGTGCGCTTGTACATGGCCAGTTTTGATCCTTGTGGGGTACTTATACGCCACAAGAATTTCTCGAAATAGATATTTCAAATTTACTGCAAAAGGAGGAATTTTCAAGTGCTATTCATCCGTTGTAAATTGAAATGTTTTATATAAGGGACATACAATCGAAATTTCAACCCAGAAAACTGAATTTGGTTGAAATGGCAGGAAATACCCCACAAGTATACATATTGTGGCGGGACAACCGACACCTTTTTGTGGCGGACCAGCAGACTGGTCTGATCGAAGATAGAATTGACCTGGCCTAACCCCACAAATATATTTATTTAACCTTACACAAGAATGGGCGGCTATCCAAACACAAGGGGGATATCAGTTAACGAACGGTGGATTATGCCTTAGAGGCTGTTCGTTTGGTGGAGGTTTACCACCGCTCTGTGATTAGGTAACTGATCTCAATGCCAATAAAGATTACAATAAATGTCAATAAGTGATGCAGGACTGAACTAAATTTCACGGTGACCAGTGATTTCCAAGGCAATTATATGA